TTTCCCTTCTTGAAGGTTGGGACCACATTGGCCCTCCTCCAATCTGCTGGAACTTCTCCCGTTCTCCAAGAACTCTCAAAGATGGTTGCCAATGGTTCCGAAATGACTTCCGCTAGTTCCTTCAATACCCTTGGGTGTAGTTGATCTGGCCCTGGGGACTTGAACTCATTAAGAGCGGCCAGGTATTCCTGGACGACTTCTTTCCCAATTTGGGGTTGGATGTCCTCCAATCCCTCATCCACTCCATCTTGCTGAGGTTGAAGACTCTCTTTTTGTGAGAAGACTGAGGCAAAGAAGGCATTAAGTAGTTCTGCCTTTTCCCTATCCCCTGTCAGCATTGCCCCATCTTCTCCTCGAAGAGGTCCTATCGCCTCCTTGTTTTTCCTTTTTTTACTGACATAAGAATAGAAGCCCTTTTTATTGTTTTTAATGTCCCTGGCAAGTCTGAGCTCGTTTTTTGCTTTAGCCTTGCGGACCTTTTCCCTACAGGTGTTGGCTATTTGTTTGAATTCTTCTTTGGTGATTTCTCCCTTTTTCCACTTCTTGTGCATGTCTCTTTTGTGTCTTAGCACAGTTAGAAGTTCTTTGGACATGCATGATTGGTTCTCAAGTGGATCATCTCCTTGGAAATGATTGAAGTGCTTGATCTTCAAAGCCCAGAACACACCTCTACACTGTCTGCTTAAGTCAGTTTCAAACTGATACTGAAGGAAGTGGTTTTGCTTTGCAGATGTTAACATAGGAAATCCTGAAACCCATTTGAAGCTTGGATGATAATTAGACAAACTAAAGCACACTGATGCACATTATGGGCTTTCTTTCATGCACTTTCGTGTGTGTTTATTGTCTATGTTGTAACTCAGCATCCTGGCAGTGAACCTACTAGTGGGTGTAGGAGGAGAAGGAGTGATGCAGAGTTGGAGGAGGAACAGCGTCAACTGAAATGCATTCGGGATGTTATCATGGCGCCCCGTGATTCTGAGGACTTTGCAGGGTTTGGACCCGAAGACTTAGATGAACTGGATTACAGGGGAGTAAAACGTTTTGCCAGTGAGACTGACAGTGATGAAGAAGTAATGAGCAAGTGTCTTAAAGACATAACTGACAATTGCAGTTCGGATGAACAGGAATCCAATGATGGGGATATGGAAGAGGGGTTGGACTGGACGCAGGTTAGGGAAATTCAGGACATATGCACACAGCCCACGTCTAGTGATGAATTCAAGGGGTTTCATGATACATGGCAGGCAGGTACTTCTTGGGAGGATTCTGGACAAGATCAACGTTGACAGCGCTGGCGTGGTAATGAGGTCACAACTGAGGATAATGATCCAGGTGTAAGTGATGAGAGCTAATCCAGTGATAGCGACTGCTGATAAAATGAGGGCTTTGGGATGGGTAGTTTTGCAGAGGACAAAGCGTTGTATCGGGTGTTTTGTGCTGCCTTACCTCCGTTTGGGTCCTGGGAATACAGCTATCGTGTCTTTGTGTGCCTCGACTCTGTATTGGACTACGTGAGTGACTTCGTCTTGCCCCTTGACTACGGAACGTTTCTGGACCACGCCATTTGCCCTCTGGACTTCGTTTGCTGCCTCTCTCCATGTTTGACCTAGGACTGTTTAACTACGCTATTGCCATCGCCAGTTTTGCTCCTGCTTTCCTTTTTTGAGAAGCTGAGTTCTGGGATATCCCGGGTTTTTCCTCCCCGTTTGTTTACCTGCTTGAAGGCTTTTGTGTTGCTAATCGGTACTGCAGTTTAAGTGCTGTTAGCTTTGTTAAAAATCTATTAAAGACTTTGTTAACCCCTTACTAGCTGTGTTGGACAATCTTTGGGCTCTGAGTCACGACAGTCTAACTGCTGCAGTTTGAAGATAGCTTAGAACTACCCTAAAGAGTCAATGTAGATGAGACCAGAGATACATAGTTTGTTTGGATTAGGCCTTCTGCTGATCCATACCAAGAAAAGCACTGATGCTATATAAACAGAAAGTCATGTTATGAAATTGGTTCTAAACCAGTGGTAGTAGGACTTGTGGCCTTATGACAGGACAGTAACTCCTAATGTTTTGTCAGCATTGTCTGTAGCAGCTAGGGCTGATAGGAGCTGCAGTGCACCAATATCAGGAGGACCATGTCTTCCACAACATTTAAAACATTATCTGACTATCACTGAAAGTGTTCTTTAAAATGTTCTTCTTTCTTGGAGGGATCACCTGACCAAAACATTTTTTAAAATAAACACGTCAAGAAGTCTGACATGAAATACTCTTTGTCACACATGTATAATTTTCTAGGTATGGAAACATTTCAAATATCCAAACCTGATACCACACATGACCCTAGAGCAGACAGATCAGGAACCTGGCTTTATCACACACTGCTTGTAAATATCAGTATAGTTTGTTATGACTATTGGTGACAATGACAATATTTGGGGAAATACTGTATCACTTCCTCCTGTGGTCAGCTATAGCTGATCTATTGGTTGTATTTATTATTTTCAAAAAGGATGATTGAAGCCTCACATTGCACATGAACAAACCATAAAACTTACAAATTCATGAACCACACTAGTTCAGTTATCTTTATGTGTACATAAGCATAGCATGTGTAAAAGAGATTATTTGTCATCATACCCCCCTGGGTCTTTAGTGATGGGTCTAGAAACATCTCCAGACCATGAATCTTCTCTTTCAGAAAAAGGGCAACTCCATCCTGAAAAGGCAAGCTGCCTGATTCTTGGAACATTCTACAGGGCCTCCATTTTGCCTGGATTCTGTTTGAGTTGATTGGCGCCTAGCCAGCCTCTACTGCATCCAGGCACTGATCCAGAATCTGCATAGCTACTCCTGAATCAGAATGCTGCACAGAAAAAAACCTGGGTATCAGCAGCATAGTCATAGCATTGGGTGGCAAATCTCTTAGTGCCTGCTCCCAGAAACTTCATATAGATCTTAGAAACATTGGGCACAAAAAGAATACCTTCTGAGAAAAGACTACAGGAGTGAAATGCTATGTTTTTGGTACAGAGATTATGAACAGGACTGGAATTACTGCAGTGCTGTGCTAAGTGAAGTCTACTTAGTTAAGAGCATCCAGGATGCTTACTTAAGCTGATCTCTTGAGTGCCTCTTTTGTTGATAGATGAGGGATGGGCAAGAATTTCAGAAACTCTCTCCTGCCCTTCTCCAGCAGGGTGGAAAGAAAAATAAAGGAGGAGGGAGATAAAATTTGAAAAATTGAAAATTTCAGAAAGAAAAAAATTTGAATTACCTTCTTTATCATGACCAGATGGATGAACAAGCTAAATAAGTTCCAGTTTAGGGAATGGGCAGACACCTGCACTTGGCCACTTCTGCCACATGTGTAGAGTGAAAAAAAATGACATCACATCACTTAAACTTTTGCTGTTAGATTGCAAAATATGTCTTTCCCAATTTTTCAGGGTTTGGGGAGTTGTGGGAAATAATGTGTATTGGGTGAGGTGGGTCAAATGTGTTTGCTTTTGTAGTAGTTTTGGTTATTTATTTTTGAGATCTGTGATATTTTGCCCAGTATTCTTCTTGAGAAAATAAAGCTGTGTCCACATCACCCACCATATTAACTCATTCTTACAGGAAAGGAGATTCCATCTGAACATTAGGAACAACTTCCTAATGGTAAGAGCTGTTCAGCAGTGGAATTCTCTGTCCCCAAGTGTGGTGGAGGCTCCTTTTTTTGGAGGCTTTTAAACAGAGGTTCGATGTCCATCTGTTGGGGGTGCTTTGAATGCGATTTTCCTGCTTCTTGGCAGGGGGTTGGACTGGATGTCCCAAGAGGTCTCTTCCAATTCTATGATTCTGTAGGTCCTGACTGCTCATGTTTCCAGAAAAATCTGATTTTTTCATTGGACTCACTTCTCAGAATACTAGGAAGTTCTAGGGCAGACAATAGTTCTGTGTATGGAATATTTGTGTGTGTGTGAGTGTGTGTGTGTATGCAAGCGCAAGACACACAGAGATTTCTGCTGTCATCTTCAGCTAGCAAAGACATCAGAGCTTGGACACAACACAGGGTCAGCCCTGGTTATCACGTGGATAAGAGACTACCAGTGAATACCAGTTGCTGTGGGCTATATTTTAGAAGAAGAAACTGGCAAAAGCACTTCTGAATATTCCTTGCCTAAGAAAATTCTATGAAATTAATGGGTTGCCAGAAGTCGACAGGTGACCTGAAGACATGTACACACAAAAGCACAAGTGTACATATACTCAGCCACCCTCTACATATAAGTAACACTGCCCTAAGCTAAACTGTTTTTCAGGGGGGATAAATTACCTGCCGCCAGTTTGATTAATCAGATATCTAGTATTTATTTTCCTGGTGCAAAATGATCAGCTACCCATTTTTTGAGTTATATTTACTATGTTTTGTGTTTGCCTTGCTTATTTTCCTGTTATTGAGTTATTTTTGACAGTGTCTGCATTTATTATTATTTGTTTCTATTTTCTTTGTTGTAAGCCACTCTGAGTCCCTTTGGGGAAAGGGAGCAGGATATAAATAAAACTTTATGGAGTTTGGAGAAAATAGACATTTGGGAGTTGTAGTTGCTGGAATTTATAGTTCACCTACAATCAAAGAGCATTCTAAACTCCACGAATGATGGAATTGAACCAAACTTGGCACACAGAACTCCCAGGACCAACAAAAAATGCTGTGTTTTCTGATGGTCTTTGGCGACCCCTTTGACACCCCTCCTGACCCGCAGGTTGAGAAACTCTGCCTTAGAGGTAGGAAGGCAATTTTTTAAGTTTTGAGTATCTTTTAAAAGAAGAGATCGCTACAGCACATGTAGCAGTTTTAGGGGACCTTGGGGCAGCCTTTCTTTAAATCCCCCAGAAAAGGGAAGGAATCCATTGGCAGGCGGCGGAGGCGGCGGGTCTTTGTCTGGGCGGCTTTGCCTCCTCCTCCTCCTCCTCCTCCCTCCCTCCCTCCCTGGTTTCCCGGGGACTGAAAGGCACCTCAAAGGCAGGCAGCCCAGGAACAAAGGAGAGGCCCGTTGCCATCCCGACGCAGCTTGGGAAGGAGGGAGGGCACGCACACAAACAAACCAAAAAAACAAAGAAAGCGGAGCGCATCCTCTCCAGTTGGACACAGGCCTCGCTTCCGAGGAGGAGAAATATTTGATTAGGGTCCGTCCATCCATCGATCGCCTCCCTTTCCCTTTTTCCAGACCGGATTTCGAAGGCAAAGTGGCCCCTGCCTTGGGCTGTGCGTTCTCCTCCTCCTCCTCCTCCTCCTTGCCAAGGGCGTAGAGCTTAGGCGTGGCTCTGGGAAGCTTTCATTTCCTCCGCATTGTTTGCCTCCCTCCCTCCCTCCCTCCTTCCATCCATCCCTCCATCCTTTCTCCACCTTCTACTACACTCGCGAGCGCGCGCGCGCACCCACTCGTGCGCTCCAGGCCGTGGTTTTCTCCTCCCTCCCTCCCTCCTTCCCTCCCTCTCCCTCCCTCCGACATTGGTCCTTCCTCGCGTGGAAGCGGGTCTTCCTCCAGCCCGGAAAAATAAAAGCTAAGGTAAGAGACCCGGCACCCATTCTTTCGACCCAAGTGAAACAAGTTCTGGGTTGTTTGATGGGGCAAGGCGTCCAAAGAAGCGCTTCTTGGCGCTGTGGACAAAAGCCAGTTGAAGAGAGGAAGGGCTTCAACGCATTGGAAACAAAACTAGACATAAAAGTAACTTGAGGATGAATATAGGATTATTCTCATAGAAAGCCAAGCTATAGTGATGGTGCGTGTCTCCCTTTTGTGTCTCAGTCTCTCCCCCCCCCCCCCCCCCCCGCCCTTGACAGCTTGTCTGTCATTGAGAAACCCGGCAGAGAGTCTCCCTGGGTCTGCCAATGCCCTCTCTACCATGTTGTGCACCATGTGGGGTGCTTGGAATGCGATTTTCCTGCTTCTTGGCAAGGGGTTGGACTGGATGGCCCACAAGGTCTCTTCCAACTCTATGATTCTAAGATTTCTTTGAACATTATTCAGTCCATGAAAAGAGAGGGCAAAAGTGAGAGAGACAATGAAAGAAAAAGAGAAAGATGGAGATGTGTCACTTGCAGCGCCCCTTGGATGGTTGGTGTTCACTGCCTGGTAGTCAACACATGCTAGATGTGGAAATGGGGGCCTCCAAGGGGTCACCTTTGGCAGTGACCCTTTTCTGGGAGGAGGTGCGCTGCAGTGTAACTATAACTGTCAAAACACACTGATGTGAATGGTCTGTGTAAGGGTGCATCTACACCAGGCGGGGGCAAACTTTCTAACTTGGGGGGACACATGCTAGTACTCCCTGCTAGGAGGACTGGCTTCTCAGTGATAGAAAAGAGGAAGAAAGGGAAGAAAAGAGAGAAGGAAAGACAGACAAAAGGAGGAAGGGAAGGAGGGGGGGAAAACAAAGAGGAAGGGAAGGAAAGAAAAAAAAAAGAAGGAAAGATGAAAGAGAAGGAAGGAAGAAAAAAGAGAAGGAGGGAGAGAGGGAAAGAAGGAAGAAGGAAAGGGTGAAAGGGAAGGAAAGAAGGAAGGGAAGGATAAACAAAAGAGAGAAGGAAGGAAAGATGAAATAGAAGGCAGGAATGAAGGAAGGAGGAAGAGGGAGAGGGGAAAGAAGGAAGAACATGAGGAGCGGCTTAAGGAGCTGAAGAAGCCTGAAGAAGAGAAGGCTGAGAGGAGATATGATAGCCATGTATAAATATGTGAGAGGAAGCCACAGGGAGGAGGGAGCAAGCTTGTTTTCTGCTTCCTTGGAGACTAGGATGCGGAACAATGGCTTCAAACTACAAGAGAGGAGATTCCATCTGAACATGAGGAAGAACTTCCTGACTGTGAAAGCCGTTCAGCAGTGGAACTCTCTGCCCCGGAGTGTGGTGGAGGCTCCTTCTTTGGAAGCTTTTAAGCAGAGGCTGGATGGCCATCTGTCAGGGGTGATTTGAATGCAATATTCCTGCTTCTTGGCAGGGGGTTGGACTGGATGGCCCAAGAGGTCTCTTCCAACTCTTTGATTCTATGATTCTATGAAAGAGAGAAGGAAGGAAAGACAAAAGGGAAGGAATCTATATGTTTAGATTGTTTTATATTTTAATGAGATGTGTTTTATTGTTTACCTGTGCAGCACTGAATTTTTGCCGGATTTGTAAGCTGCTTTGAGTTCCCTTCGGGGTTGAGAAAGGCGGGATAGAAATGAAGTTAATAAATAATAAATAATAAATAAGGAAGGAGAGAGAGGGAAGGAAGCAAGGACGAAAGGGTGGAAGGGAAGGATGGAAGAAGAAAGAGGGAGGAGAGGGAGGGGAGGAGGAAGGAAAGAGAAAAGGGAAGGAAGGAAGAACAAAAGGGTGGAAGGGAAGGAGAGAGGGAAAGAAGGAAAGAGAGAAGGGAGGATGAAAAGGTGGATTGAAAGGAGAAAGAGGAAAGGAAGGAGGAAGGAAAGAGAGAAGGAAGGAAGGATAGGATAGTGAGTGAGAGAGAGAGGAGGGCCTGAGAAACGAGCCCAAGGGGCCGCATCCACCCCACTCACCTAGGTTTGCCTATACCTGATCTGCACTATAGAATGAATGCAGTTTGAAACCACTTGAACTTCCATGGCTCAATGCTTTGGAATCCTGGGAGTTGTAGTTTTAAAAGGTTTTCAGCCTTCTCTGCCAAATAGTGCTGATGCCTCACCAAACTACAACTCCCAGGATTACACAGCACTGAGCCATAGCATTTCAAGTGGTGTCAAACTGTATTCATCCTTAAGGCTGACAATGCTGGGGTTTATTGAAGTGGGAGGGTGGGAGTGTTACTTATAAACCAGAGTTGGAAAGAATGTAAATCCCCAAATGCTTGCATTTGAAAAGCTTTTGTGGGGAATATGCCCCCCCTTTAAGTTTCTTTTTCATAAAACAAGCTTGGATGTCTGATTTAAAGTCTGTCATTGTAAAAGCTTGCAAGTAAAAGTAACATTTGAGTCACTTTCAGTGAGGTGAGCAACCAATCATGCTGAGAAGTAGCTATGAAGCCCTTTAGACTGCAGTCTCTGATAGACTTCCTTGGGGATTATTTAACTTTGGAGGGAGTTACTTTTAAAAGGAATATGCAGAGCTGCACTTCTTCTCCTTGCTGTCAGCTTTGCTAATAGATGTGGGGCTATTGATGGCTCTATTGTCCCTTCTTCTGACACACCCCTCCCAATGTGATGACTCATACATACGTTGACTGCACTGTAATAAGTTTATGATGTTTGGTGCTTTCAGTAGTTTATCTAAAATCAGATTTTTATTCAGCCATGATTTTTATGAGACAAAGGCTCCGCAGTGTTGGCACATACACAAATAATGTCACCATCTTGCGTATTCTAGCATATATTGTGTTATTGTTAGCCAATGCCAATTGAGTTTGTCTGCATGAGTTAACTATGAGTGCACACACATATAGTAAAGACAGTATCTTACACATTTGATGAAATGATGTTGAGATTAATAGGGTGAAGTAAAATCATACATTTCTGAGTTCAGAAAGACTTTGGGTAGAGAGGATCATTTTACCATATGTACGAATATGCATGAGAGAATTAACACAGTGGAAGTGGCTTGAAGGTTGGATTAGAATATTTGGAAACTAGGATTTCAATTCCTGCTCAGCCACAGTAATGAATGAATGAATGAATGAATGACACAGGGCAGATCACACTTTCTCAGCCTCAGATGAAGGCAAAGGCAAACTCCTCTGAACAAATTCTGCCAAGAAAAATCCCACAATTGGTTTGCCTTAGGGTCTCCATATGCCAGAAGGTACAGAGCAGCAACACTGTCACACACAAAGAACCAATACGGTGTAGAGGAGTATTGAACTCTGGAAGCCAGGTTTTGAACCCCTGCTTGCTGTGGAAACTCATTGGGCAAGTCACACCCTCCAACCTCAGATGAGGAAAATGGCAAATCTCCTTTGAACAAACTTTTCCAAGATGTGAAAAGTGGAAGAGAGAATGTCTAACTAACTGTTCTTGGGCTTTCATCCCTCACCATTGGCTATGCTGGAGAGGGCTGATGAGAGTTGTCAAACCAATTGTATTTGGGGAACATGTCCCTTAGTGTCACATGTGGCCTCCAAACCTGCTTTGGGGGGGGGGGGGCATTAACCCATCAAGATTCTCTGTATTATATCTCAAAAAGGTTCAGTGTACCCACAATCAGTGCAATATTCAAACCAATGAAGGTTGCTAGATGTTCACTATGTATTATATTCTGTGGTTGTTTTATATTTTTGGAATGGTTTTTTAAAAAATTGTTGTTATATTTTAACTATGTTGAATCTTGGACTTGTCCCCATGTAGGCCGCCCCGAGTCCCTTGCGGGAGATGGAGGCGGGGTACAAAAATAAAGTTATTATTCTTATTCTTATTAATTATAACCATCTGATTCTGCTTTTGATTTCTCAGGATCCTTCCTCTGAAATCCTGGGATTCTCTGCTAGATGGCTCTGATGAACCACCCATGAACTACAGCTTCCTAGATATACCTTGAGTTCTCACTCCCTGTCTTCCCTGTTTTGGGAAGTGTAGTACAAGGGAATTTGATCAGAGCTCTCCAGGGGAGAATTGTAGCCACTTCAGCAAACTAGAAACCGCAAGGATGGAATCATAGTAGTGAAACTGGTCCCAGTTGTTATAAATGTGTGTGTGGCTGCATTAACTATCAAGGGCAGCAATCCCTCTTTTAAATAGACTGGAAAGCCACCCTAGGACACTTTAATTCACCGGATTCCTGGCTAATCCATTTACAGTATATGGCAGCTATGATACTTTTAAATAAACACCAGTGTTAGCCATTTTTAATGCAATTTTAACTGCTTTTAATGGTATATGTTCAATGTTTACTTGTGTGTTAGTTTACTGTCATATTGGTTTATTGCGACTTAGTTTTCATTTCAATGTTTAATCTTTTCATTATAAGTTTATTATTGCTATCGTGCATTATTTTGCATGATTTCTGATGTGTTTGTACTTTTACAGACAGGCATTGAATGTTTGCCTGTCTCTGTGTGTAATCCACTCTGAGTCCCTTTTGGGAGAGGGGGTGGTCTAGAAACTTATTATTATTATTATTATTATTATTATTATTATTATTACACCAACACAGTTTAAATTAAAAACAAAATTTTCCAAAGTCAGATGAGAACCTCCAGCCACTTTGTGATGTTGCTGTTCTTTTTGTGTATGTTTATATTTTGACAGTAGTTCCTGCAAGCCTTTGGAGGGTGCCAGAGTTGCAAAATTGGACTTTCCACAATTGTTTGCTATCTGTTATATTCTTGAATTTTGCCTCTGGCAGGTGCAGAGTTATAGGGAATTTGGTGTAAAGTGACTTGAAACATAAAGGAAGTGGGCTGAATGCAGGGTGTCCACTTTCCAGGACACGGTGAGGATAAGACCCCCAAATTGATGGATCCATTGCTCAGGAGTAAATGGATCAAGAAATGCATGGGTGAAGAACTCCTTGTAGAGGCAGTTCACTTCTACATCTGATGCACCATTAGCCAACCTCGTGGAGTGGTTTGGAAAAACTCCCATTGGGTTTTTGTGAGTTTTCTGAGCTGTATGGCCACGTTCCAGAAGCATTCTCTCCTGACATTTCACTTGCATCTATGGCAAGCATCCTCAGAGGTTGGGAGGTCAACCTCTGAGGATGAGAGGTCAACCTCTGAGGATGCCTGCCACAGATGCAGGTGAAACATCAGGAGAGAATGCTTCTGGAACATGACCATATAGCCCAGAAAACTCACAACAACCCAGTGATTCTGGCCATGAAATAAATTTCCCATGGGGTTGTTGTGAGTTTTCCGGGCTGTATGGCCATGTTCCAGAAGCATTCCCTCCTGACATTTCACTTGCATCTATGGCAGGCATCCTCAGAGGTTGGGAGGTCAACCTCTGAGGATGCCTGTCATAGATGCAGAGGTTGCGAAGTCAACCTCTGAAGATGAGAGGTCAACCTCTGAGGATGCCTGCCACAGATGAAACATCAGGAGAGAATGCTTCTGGAATATGGCCGTATAGCCCGAAAAACTCTCAACAACCCAGTGATTCTGGCCATGAAAGCCTTCGACAATACATTTTTCATTGTTTTGTGAGTTTTTCGGGCTGTATGGCCATGTTCCAGTAGCATACTCTCCTGAATTTTCCTGCATCTATGGCAAGCATCCTCAGAGGTTGGGAGGTCAACCTCTGAGGATGCCTGTCATAGATACAGAGGTTGCGAAGTCAACCTCTGAGGATGAGAGGTCAACCTCTGAGGATGCCTGCCACAGATGCAGGTGAAACATCAGGAGAGAATGCTTCTGGAACATGGCCATATAGCCCAGAAAACTCACAACAACCCAGTGATTCTGGCCATGAAAGCCTTCGACAATACATTTCCCATTGGGTTGTTGTGAGTTTTGCCTGCATCTATGGCAGGCATCCTCAGGGGTTGAGGTCACAACCTCTGAGGATGCCTGCCATAGATGCAGGCGAAACGTCAGGAGAGAATGCTTCTGGAACATGGCCATACTGTTCGGAAAACTCAATAACTCAGTGATTCCGGCCATGCAAGCCTTGGACAATACATCAACCTCCCATTGTTCGGTGGAGCTCATTGTTATCTCTTTCTCCTTCCCCTCGCCTCTGTCTCTCTGTGTGTCTATGTTCCTCCCTCGCTCCCTCTCTTTGCCTTTGACCGGCCCCATCCCTGGGGCGCCCTTCGCTTCCCTCCCCCTTCTTTCTTTTTCTCCCAGAGCCCCGTGAAGAGGCATGGGACCTTGCTTCCCTCAGCCATGAGCCAGGCGCCCAGCGGCGGTTCTCCCGGGGGGGCTCCTCCTCCGGCCGCCTCCCGACTCCTCCCGGAGGGAAGCAGCAGCAGCAGCAGCAGCAGCCCCCGAAGCAAGCAGCAGCAGCAGCAGCAGCAGCACCGCGCCTCTTCGCCGGGCAGACCCAGAGACCCGCACGCGAGGCAGCCCTCCCCGGCCTCCAAGGCAAGCTCCGCCCGCCAGGCCCAGCAGCAGCAGCAGCAGCAGCAGCAGTCCAAAGGCAGCCGGGCTAAGGCAGCAGCAGCAGCTGGAGGAGGAGGAGGAGGAGCAGAGAAGCCGCCCCCTGCGGCGCCCTCGGGAGCTGTCCAGGCCGGGGATGGTGCTGAACCTTTGGTCCAGGCCGGAACCAGCGGCGCCCCCAAAGCCAACCCCGACAAGCGAGACGCGGAGAGGGAGCGGGACAGCCAATCCCAGGGCCGAGCGGGGGCCCAAGGCCCAACTGCGCCACCTGCCGGCGGCCCCGGGAAAGGCCGGGCGCTGCCCGCGGCGGGGGGCGGCTACTGGAAGGAAGGATGCCTGCAAAGTGAGCTCATCCAGTTCCACCTCCGGAAGGGCTTGGCGGCGGCCGCCCAGATGCAAAGCCACGGAGGGCAGCCAGGGGATGGCACCCGGGCGGAGGAGCAGGCCCAGGCCCCGCTCCCCACGCCGGCGGCCCCGATGGCAGGCAGCCCAGAGGCCAACGGGCAGGGCAAGGCCCTCGGAGGCGCCCTGAGCGCCGCGCAGCAGCAGGAGCTGCAGGACGAGGTGGAGAAGCTGTGGGAGGAGAACGAGGCCCTCAAGGTGAGCAGAGGGGAGGGGGGAAGCAGAGAGGACCAAGCCTTGGATGAAGAGGGCCAGAGCCCTTGGTCCTCTTCATCCGGGAGCCCTTTGAGAGGAAACAAAGACCTATTTGCCCTTCTTTTCGATCTATACACAGAAAATTCTTGGTCAACCAGCAGCCAAGGGGATTGGTAGATGCCTCCAATAAATGTAGTTTAAATAGGCCTAGCTAATATTATATCCCAGACCTGGACAAACTTAGGACCTCTGGGTGTTTTGGACTTCAACTCCCACCATTCCTAACAGCCTCAGGCCCCTTCCTGCTTAGGCGGCTGAGGGGGAAAAGGAAAAGGCCTGAGGCTGTTAGGAATGGTGGGAGTTGAAGTCCAAAACACCTGGAGGGCCCAAGTTGTCCCATGCCTACCGAACCCTATACTATACCATACCATAACCTCTGTGTTATTGATATTAAGATTGGAATGCAGTATTGTAAAAGCAAATAAAAGATAAATGTAACTAAATATCAGTTGATTTTATTCATAATTTTTATTTAAAATATTATTTCTTCAATTTTCTTTTGCCGGTTGCTTAAGAGTTCTGATTCCTTGAGTTCTGGTTAGCCGAGAGTCTACTGTAACCCCCCCCCCCCCCCGAGAAACATAATGCATCATTATATTGGGTTGCTGTTATTTTTCTGGGGTGTGTGGCCATGTTCAGCAGTATTCTCTCCTGACATTTCACCCACATCTACAGCAGGCATCCTCAGGGGCTGTGAGGTCTATTGGAAACTAGGCAAGTGGGGTTTATAATAATAATAATAATAATAATAATAATAATACAGTAGAGTCTCACTTATCCAACCTTTACTCATTCAACGTTCTAGTCTGTCTCCCACCCAGAATAATATCCAGGGAGAAAAAAGAACCCTTGTCTATTTTGGTGCTAAATTTGCAAATACATTAATTACTACATAATGTTACTGTCTATTGAACTGTTTTTTCTGTTGATTTGTTGTAAAACATGATTTTGGTGCTTAATTTGTAAAATCATAACATAATTTGATGTTTAGTAGGCTTTTCCTTAATCCCTCCTTATTAAGATTTTTGCTTATCCAACATTCTGCCGGCCCATTTTTGTTGGATAAGCAAGACTCTAATAACTTTATTTTTATAACCTGCCTCCATCTCCCCAAAGGGACTCAGAGTTGCTTACAGGGGGACCAAGCCCAATATAAACAAGGTTGCAAAATAACACAATTAAAACATGTAACAATCAACAATATTAAAACAATAAAACCAATAAAATCTAAGGCATCATAAAACATAACCAAACAGCAAGCGACCAACGGCCACGGAAAGTGGGTAGGTGCAGATTTGAGACTAATAGGGCAGGACAGGGTTAGTGCAACCTAAACTGTAAGGCCAGGGGCTGGCAATAAAGTGCTGGAGGTCCTACCAAAAGATGAGGGCTAGACAGACTTGATCAGTAATTGAACCATTATTTGAAGGCATGTGGGAACATCCAAGTTTATATATCTGTGGAAGGTCCAGGGTGGGAGACAAGCAGACAAGTGTGAATGTTGTCTGCCTCAAGCAGTCAAGAGTTCTTTCTCCCACCCTGGACATTATTCCACAGATATATAAACCTCACTTGCCTAGTTTCCAACAGACCTCACAACCTCTGAGGATGCCTGCCATAGATGTGGGTGAAACATGGCCAGACAGCCCAGAAAACTCACAGCAACCCAGTGATTCCAGCTATGAAAGCCCTCGACAATACGTTGTTATTATTATATTGTTTGCAAAGTCAGTAATTTTCCAGTACATGACTTATGCCACCCATTGAAATCAACTCCTCCTACCCTTCACCATTTAAAAACAATAATTACAATTAAAAATAGATGTTAAAATGGACTGCACCTTTCACCTTAAAGGCATTGGACAAAAATATTATTGTCAACCCGCTAACTTCTTCTCTTAAGCAATTTCTTTATTCTTCCTTATTGCTGTTCTTGTTTTAAGGAAATAACATGATTTTTTTAGTCCTCCACCTTGGCAACACTCTGTGCCAACAGCACCAGAAGGGAGTGTTGCTGCAGTGGGTTTCTGCTGCCCTGTCTCCTGGGCAGATGCCATCCTGTGACATCAAGAGGGCCTCCCTGCTCCAGCCTATAAAGTTGTGTGGACACAGTTCAAGTCCATTAAGAAAGGTGTTTGAGACTTGGAGAGGATGGGTTTCAAGCAAGACATCTGTAACTAGTTATGGTAGGACAGGGTGGACATCAAGAGTGCAACAAAGTCTCATTTCAAAAACAATTTAACAATGAAGAGTGGAGTGTCTTTTTGTGAGGAATAATGCTTTCTAGGTATTATTCCTCACAAGTTTCTCTTTAAGGACCTTTTATGGATATTCTTGGCCATATTATGACATTGTCTTAATAACCTTTTAAAAATTTGCCTTCGAAGAACGTAATGAACACAAAACAAATAATGCAATGAATTGGTGTTTCAACACAGTAGATCAAGTTCTAGATCTCTCAAAAAATATAGCTGCCCATTCCAATGGGTAGTAAAATAGTAAGGAGTTGCAGACCCTCATTCATTTGACTATGATAATAAAAGGAGAACTCCAATACCCTGTTAAATCCCCATGGTACCTTAAGAATTGTAAAGCATGTATTTCATTTTGGTGCCCATGATAGCTGTGAGGTACGTATCACTGTGTTGCCAGGATGCTTGTTGTGTGTCAGCATGTGAAAGAGATCAGGTGGGCTGGTTGGTGTTTAAAGTTGTTGCTGATGTGTCTTTTTTGTGTCCTACTTTGCTTTTCTCCATCCATTTGAACTAACATTTATCTGGTGTGTGTTTTCACTTCTTTCCCACTGGACACCAGAATGAGATAGATGAGCTAAGGACAGAGATGGATGAAATGAGAGACAGTTTCTTTGAAGAAGATGCCTGCCAGCTACAGGAAATGCGCCATGAGTTGGAGAGAGCCAACAAAAACTGCAGGATCCTTCAGTATCGTCTTCGCAAAGCAGAGCGCAAGAGGCTTCGTTATGCAGAGACCGGGGAGATTGATGGAGAACTTCTGCGTAGCTTGGAGCAGGATTTGAAGGTACTACAAGGTCAAAATTGGCAAATAGCTATGGGAGAACTGTGTACCTGGATTTCTAAATTTATGTATTTATCATATCAGAAGGGAATCGAGGGTACGGTTATAATGTATTTAAAAACACAAAGTTTACAAACTTAAAATTATACTAAATGTCCTTTGACCAGTAGCTGGCCACTTGGAGTGCCTCTGATATAAGAAGGTCCCCCATTGTGCATGTGGCAGGGCCAGACTGCATTGTAATAGGTGGTCTGTGGTTTGCTCTTCTCCACACTCATATTGTGGACTCCACTTTGTGGCTCCTTTTTCTAAGGCTGGCTCTGCATCTCTACATGGAAAGGCAAGATCGCTTGATACATTATTTGCCTGTAGCTTTGGAAGGGGAATTGCAATGGCTTAGTCTCATTTTCAGCCCTCATTTTGAGATAGCACTCATACAGTTGTGTATCCTGGGTTGGGGAAGTTTTATTCTTGAGGTGTGATTATTTCTATCTCTCAGACAACTCCACCAACATACCCAGTGGCAAGGAACTATGAGTGTGGTAGTCTAAAACATCTGGAGGACTAAATATTTCCCACCCTTAATTTTCCCCTTTCAAATCACTAGACAGCAAGTTCACTGGCACTTTAAGCTCTTTAGCTTTGATACTTTTTATTGTTGTTCTCTGTATAAAACTATTTATGGCTTTGTAAAAGCCATATAGCCAAAATATAATATAACCTGTGAATTCGCTTTCTGGTGATTTTAAAGGGCTCAATTAAGGGTGGAAAACATCTAATGACTTAGATAAAGGTTTAGAGGACATGCTTATCAAGTTTGCAGATGACACCAAATTAGGAAGGATAACTAATTTTCCAGAGGATGTGATCAGAATTAAAAATACTTCAACAGAGTAGAAAGCTGGGCCAAAACGTAACAAAATACATTTCAAAAAGGACAAATGTAAGGTACTACATTTACGCAGAAAAAAATGACATGCACAGATAAAGGATGGGTGACACCTGGCCCGACAACAGTCTTTGTGAAAAAGATCTTGGAGTCTTTATGAACAACAAGTTGCACTTGAGCCAAAAGTGTGATGCAGCATCTTTAAAAGCCAATGGGATTTTGTGCTGCATCAAAAGGAGTATAGTGTCTAGATTGAGGGAAGTCATGGTGCCTGTCTACTCTGCTTTGGTTAGTCCTCACCTGGAAGATTGTGTCTATTTCTGGGCAACCCAATTCAAGAGGGATATTGACAAGCTGGTAGATGTCCAGAGGAGGGCAACTAAAATGATCAAAGATCTGGAGACCATGCCCTATGAGGAGCAGCTTAAAGAGCTGGGGATGTTTAGCCTGCAGAAGAGAAGGTTGAGAGGAGACATGATGGCCATGTATAACTATGTGAAAGGATGTTATAAGGGAGAGGGAGCAGGCTTGTTTTCTCCTGCCCTGGAAACTAGGACTCGGAGTAATTACAGGAAAGGAGATTCCACCTGAACATTAGGAAGAACCTCCTGACTGTAAGAGCTGTTCAGCAGGGGAACTCACTAACTCAGTGTGGTGGAAGCTCCTTCCTTGGAAGCTTTTAAACAGAGGTTGGACAGCCATCTATCAAGGGTACTAGGATTGTGCTTTTCCTGTATGGCAGTGGATTGGACTAGATGGCCCATGTGGTCTCTTCCAACTCTGTTATCCTATGACTCTAAGAAAGCTTATCTTCCAGTGTTTCCCAGTTGAGAAATATAAAAAAGTAGAGCTAAATCGTGGAGTACTTTTAAGTGAAGAGAATAGCAATGTTCCTAAGTACAGAAGAAGAAACAAAAATCTAGGCCTTATTATTATATGCTGTTTTTCCTCCAATTTTGTTTTTGTAATTTTCTTAAATAAGAAATTTTGTCCCATATCAGTGACATGTTAGTATAGAGGGGCAGTTGTTCTAGATTTTAGATTATATTTTATCACAGTTATAAAAATGCTGACCAATGTCCATAAAATAAATTCAGTGCCTTGAATAGTTCCTTTAAAATCCGGACTAAAACCTGTCATCAATTCACTGCCCACTGACAGTCACCAGTACCTACTGTTTTTTGGTTTTTTTGTGACAGTATATATTTTATGAAAGATATTACAGGGTTCATGTTATGTAGTTAAATAATATTTTGCTTCATTATAAATTCTTCATAGATAATTGCAGTTCCTGTAAGAGGCAGTGAGTCACTCAGTTGGTCTTTTCTGGTAAATAGCACGTTTCCGGCTTGCTTGCTGGCAGAAGCTTTTGTTTTGTTTTGTGTTTTTGTTTTGCTTTTGAATTGTTGTAATTCTGACCTAAGTACTTCTGTATACATATCATTAAAATCAGAACTTACTTTTGAGAAAATGTGAATCTGATGATGCTATGAATATAACCAGAAATTATTTAAAGTGTTATAATTGCTAGCTGGGTGTTAATAAATGGCTGTGAATATGAGGGATAATTAGATCTATAGATCTGCCTTTTAGAATGGAATCTCATTCCTTACTTTTCAAAAAAATGGTTATACCAGAGCTCCCTGAAGCTAGATAACTGTTGGCAAGATACTTAATACTTCTGTTGATGTGTCCCAGCTATTTAATATGAGGATCTGTGATAATCTGCTGAAGTGTCCAGGGCCAATGCCTGTGTTGAAAGAACCATTGGCTGTCTCTTCACACAGAAGGTCCTTGGAGCAATGATTTAGAAACTCTCTCTTTTGGAAGAAAAGGTGGGAATGGCAAAGTCCCCTTCCAAGGCTGCAAATGTGCCAAAGAGAGGAACTGGACTGATTTCCACTCACTTTTCTTTTTCTTCAGAACAGAGATAACACTTTATGAGATAGAGGTTATTCATTTGCCTCACCACTCTCCTCATTTTGCTCCTGTTTCCCTTCTTGGGCAGAAGAAATGGCTCCTCATCTTTTACTATGGGGCAGATATGCACTAGTGTCAGCAAAAAGGTGAACGTCTGACAGTAGACTTTCTCTTGCATCTCCTACTGGAAATCTGAAGAGATTGGCTGGGATTCAGTATGGTACAGCATATTGTTGTATTATTGCTGCAAGTGACACTATCCTAAAAGTGTCCACTCATTCCAGGGTGGGTGAGGAGTAGGAGGAGGGAAGGCCAAAAAAGCATCTGGCTAAGTCACTATAGCCAGATACAAGATGATTACTTCATCTGCAGAGATATTCTGCAGTTCCCCCAAAGATGGTTATGGAAATATGCAGTGGCTAACTGATCCATTGGCTTTGGTTGTGAGAGAAGGTGGGAGAGAATATCAGCTGCTAACAGGAAGGGAGACCTACACAGGTATAAATGGACGTATACCTTCATGTACTATGAATAGAATACTAGTCATTGTGAATGTGAATGCACAGGGTCAGCAATACTGCTTTTTAGCTATCAACCTTTCACTTTTGCTGCTAGATTATGTGTGCTACACATTAAGGGAAGTTGAAATAGTTTGAAATGACAGAACAAAATACACTTGAAACATCTGGGCAAATTCTTGCTAGTGCTACCCCCTTTCACTGGGTTTGGAGGCTGTTTGGTTAATCAGTCAATTACAGTGCCAACTATAATCTTAATGTGAAGATATTTCTATCAGAAAACAAAGCAAGCTTTCAAGTGTAGGTCTGTTTGTTGGTTAGGATTATATCTTGTTTTATATATTCTAGTTGAGACTATGAATGAGATTTAAGATACTGCTAAGAATATAGGGATAGATATATAAATGGTCTCACTCATTATAAGGTAGCATCCTAAGTCCCTGTGTTGTTTTTCTAAATGTTCAAAATATTGTTCCTTTTAGGTGGCAAAGGATGTTTCAGTGAGACTTCACAATGAGTTGGAAAACGTGGAAGAAAAACGCACTACCACAGAAGATGAAAATGACAAGTTACGACAACAATTAATAGAAGTAGAGATTGCTAAGCAGGCTCTGCAGAATGAACTTGACAAGTTGAAAGAGGTGAGTGTTTGCTTTGGGGGAATTGTGGGATGTTGTCAGGTTTCCTTTCTCCAAACAGAATGCCACTGTTGAAGTAGGAACTAGTGTTCATCGTGGCAGAAGATGTCAGAACTTTGAACCATAGAGATTCTAAAATGAGTCAAATAGCTCCATTACTGAAAAGGGGAACATCATTTTGATAAACTGTAAGCATTTTTGAGAAGACAGTGTTTGAAATACGAAGAAGCTAGCTTCTGGTCTTACTGTGATTGTTTTAATTAAATAGAATGCAGACTAGCAATTCTGGATCTTTTCCCATCATGAAATCCAGCTTTTGAATTACCCTTTGACTTGTGGATTAATACCCTTGACAGCTGTTGACTTCCATTATTTGCTCTTGTTTTGACAAAACTCTGGCTAATGGTTTCTGTCATTCTTAACCTTTGGTTAGGCATAACAACATCTGAAGAATAACTCCAATAAGTCTTTTCCCCCCAGTAATTTCTTTAGTTACCTTGTGCCTAGCTTTTTTCAAACAAGTCTGACATTGGATTTACACTGTGCAGCATATGTTTCTTCTGATGTGAAGTTTGTTATTACCAGCACCTATGCTTTAAGAGAAGAGAAACTCTTAACATTATTCAGAGTAACTACTCAAGTTGTAAATGGAAATTTCTAATAAAATACAAAGCCTCATCCATATTTTGTCCTGATGATACAAATAGGGCTCTGGGTGCTTCTAGAAGCCTACTGAAAGCATGACATATATTCAGAATCTTAATTTAGGAAATGTCAGTATTCACTCATTAATTCACTGTTGAATCACCATTGTTTGATTTTTATGATTTCCATGAAGTGGACAAGCAGCTGAATAAATTTTGCTTAGTTGTTCGTCTCTTTGTTTTGTATTTCCCAGTGCAGAGATAGCAAATAGTCAACAGTCAACACCCTTCCTCGGCACTTTATCATTTCTTTACCATCACTTATCTAGCACTGTTATCTCTAAGGAAGTTTTTTTCTTCCCAGAGGTATTGTTTTGCTCTACAGTCCATGGACCATTTTTTCCATTTAGGCTTCTCAACCATAATCTAGCACAGTAGATATGCTCCTTAAGAATCTTCACTCCACCCCTGAGTCGTAGATGAATTCCCATTTCCACTGATGTGCTCAGTGTACACAGAACTCCAAAGGGCCACTTTTCTGCATGGCAGGGGGTTGGATTAGATGGCCCATGTGGTCTCTTCTAACTTTAATATTCTGTGATTCTATGATTATCTCTCTTCCTTTTTCTCAACTTCACACTGCAAAGTGAATGTAAAAATATATCCAACAAGGTCATTAATTCAAGTTAACTCTTAAACATTACTGGAGTGCCATTTTAGCAGGAACATCATATTTCTGATTAAATTTAGAAATTCTAAGATATTGCTGATACAAAGGTGCACTTTGGCTGGAGTCCATTCCATGCTACAAAGAAAGGTTGCCTTGAAGATGTCAAAATTCAGTTGCTTAGACCTGTGGTTCTAAACTTGCAGGTATCCAGATGTTTTGGCCTTCATCTCCCAGAAATCTTAACATCTGGTAAGCTGGCTGGGATTTTTGGGAGATGTATGCCAAAACACCTGAGGACACACAGGTTGAGAACCACTGGGCCTTAGACATTCCTTTAGGATACTAAGTTGTGTGTAGGATTGGGTTCTTGTACCTTTGATAGCTATCATGTCCTGGATGATGATTATGATGATGATTATTGCTATTATTATTATGCTTTCCTTCCAATATTGGGGCCCAAAGCTCAAGAAAAGGTACCATAAAGTTCCATTATGAAGATTCCCCCCTCCCTCCCAAACTACACCTTTCAGCTGCTGCTATCCACCAAGATTTCCAGTGAACAGCAGAGGGAGCACAGAGAAGGTGCCCATCAGTTTTGTGCTTTCACCTTTAGGAACACAACTGAACACTTCTTTATGCCCCCCTACTTTCCATTGGCAAATACATAGCTGGTGCAGGGCTACCACAGCAAAAAAAAAAAAAGGTTTTGTGAGGTGAAGTACAAGAAATGGTATAGTTCCACCTGACAGAACTGTACCTCTTTCTGATCCATGATCTGTTAGCAATTAAAGCTACAGGAATGCCGTCCTGTACTCAACCAGGCAACCCTACTTCCTTTCAAAATTCACTTTTGTTTCTCAAGGTAAGATTATTAATTTGATCAATAATAATATTATAATAATAATAAAACTTTATTTATAGCCTGGCTTATCTCCCCAGGAGACTCAAGGTGATTTCCAAACAAAAGGTGGCAAACATTCAATGGCATAATAAAAACCAGGCAGACAGACCAAATTTTAAAAAGTCAAACAACATCAATATAAACTTATAATAACTAGCCAAAAATAAGCACTTAAATAAACATAATGAATATCATCAAACACAACACAATAAAATCTAAACAACTAAAATGCATTAAAAGTATAGAAGGGTTTACAGAGGCCAACAGAGCCAAGGGACATTTCCAGTATCCAAGTGTGGTTGTATCAAGAACCCAGAATGGAAACAGCTGCCAATTTCCACTAATTTGCCATGGCCCTGCAGTATTTTAATGCCACATGCCTCAGCTTGGTGTCTTCCAGAGGTATGGGGCTGGGATACATCTGGAAGGCACCAGCTGTTTCTGTGTGTGCACTAAAACAGAGATGGAAAAAGAGAAATCAACAATATCATTGTTTAAATCTTGTAGATGTGAACTTCCCTCTGTTTACCGATCTACACAAAGCCTTGTTTGTGTAGATCAGCACATTACTGTAATCTAATTGGGAGCTATGTGCATTCTAGTTGTTTTTGACTTAGGTCAATCCTAAAGCAAAACAATCACCTGGTTTTATGACAAGATCTGTGCATGTCTCAGTTTTCAGTTCATGAAGTCTCAAATGTTCCCAGTGCTATCAAAAATTGTTGCTTTTTTGGGCATTGATGCTCCTTTGTTTCCCACAAATGATTGAAAACTGTTGCAAAATGTGGTTTTACCACTACAGCTCTCTGGAGCCACCACACATCTTAGGATTGTTGTTATTGTGTGCCTTCAAGTCATTTCCAATTTATGGCAATCCTAAGGCAAACCTATCACAAGCCTTCCTCTGAAGCTGAGAGAGTGTGATTTGCCCAAGATTGCTCCATGAATTTTCATAGCAGAGCAAGGATTTGAACTTTGGTCTCCAGAACCTGCCACAGATAAATCTGGTAGGGGCCTTCAAAGGTTTGATTCATTTTGCACTAAATGGTTCCAAAAGTTAACATCTTGAAGTGATCCAAGTTCCAATTAAGTGAATCCAGAGCTGTAGCTGCTGGTTCTTCTCTAATAGCAATTTGAATGTGTACAAGGGGCAAAGTTCTCATCTGCCCACTCACATGAGTCGTCAGAAGTTGTGGCTGTATGGGGTCAGATATTGCTTCCTGCTTACAACTGATTGTTCGGATACCTCTCGGTGGAGCCATTCACTAAAATTTAAAACAGCCCTTAGAATCTGGAAAGCATTCTCTCTCTGTACATTTTATTCCGTTCCTATGAAACATAAAATTGATATACCTGTCAAATAGAGAATATTGAAATACCATATAAGTGTCATATTAAAGACACACTGTCTGGGCAACTTTTATTGATACCTAAATTTAGATAGCATAAGTTTAAAGCATAACTGACAGTGAATGTCATGGAAATTTAGGCTTACATGCACTCTTTAAGTTCCAAATAGTAATTTATTTAAATATCACATTATCAACTTCTCATTAATACAGTGAGTCTATATTAATTGGGGCTAATTGTTGTAGCTCTCGGGGCAGCTAGATTGTGTTCCATCCTAATTTCCAGCGTGAACCCACGCAACTGCCAATCTCAGGGCACAGCTAACCATTTATTTGATAAACACAAAAGCAAAACCAATCGTGTGGTGGGAGCAAGAGATAATTATTGTGACCGTGGGCATGTCCAGCAGTCCTTTTTGTGGTAAGCTTGTGTCTCAGCTTACAATGTACCATTATCTGTATCTTCTTAGGCAAATATATAAAAAATCAAAATTATAAATGTAACCCAGGGTGCATCTACACTGTAGATCAATGCAGTTTGACAGCACTTTGGTTGCCTTGACTCGGTGCTATGGAATCCTAGGTGTGGTAGTTTTACAAGGTATGTAGCCTTCTCTGCCAAAGGTTCTGGTGCCTCACCAAACTACAAATCCCATGATCCTATATCATTGCACCATAGTAGTTAAAGTCATGTCAAACTGCAGTTCTTACACAGTGTAGACCCACCACCAAAGTTGTGCTGGAATAATGCTCCATAGAATTCTAGCTAAATTGTTAATTCCTTGTCTTGAATGCCTGATTTGTCTAAATATTCAATCAACTTGTGCTATTTCAGTTTTATTTGTTTGTTTATTTTTTGCCTGGGAGATCTTAATGTTTCATCTGAGAAGTCTTGTGTATAAAATTTGAACATGATTGCTTCCTGCACATAAAAGTTGAAGATAATTGCTTCGGGTTTTTTTTTCCATCTTGGCTCAGTTATTTCAACAGTTTTGTACAAAATCCTGATTGCAATTAAATGCATTATTTGGCCCGTCTGTGTCTGGGAAGGTTTTTGTTTTGTCTCCTTGTGAAATATTTTTAATATTTAAAGCATCCCCAGATGTAGCTTATAAATAACAACTCAGAAAATTTACCTTTTCAGATTAAATTTCCCAGAACCATCCAGGCACCATGGCCAGTAATAACAAGCTAAAATTTATTTTACACATTGTTTACGTATATTCCTGGCATTTATAGTTTGCCTAAATTAAGACTTTGTTTTTAAGATGTATATTATTATCATTTGTTATCTAGAGCACCATTATTTTTTCCTTTTCTTTTCTTTCCTTTTCTTTCTTCCTCCATCCCCGAAAGACAGGGCAACAGCAGCACCAGCAACTAAACAACTAAATGGCTAAAAATGTTCATGTTCTTTAAATGGCAGATTGGTAGATCACTTTTCACACAGATATTTACTATATTTGATCTTTCCCAGCAGTCAATGAAAAGAAGGGGAAGCAAAGACCTGCAAAAATCAGAAAAAAAGTCACAACAGACTGAAGTGAGTTCAAATGATTCTGTCTATGCTATGCTATGGTACCATTCTATAATCTGGAGGAGGAAAACATGTAGTTCTCCAGATATTATAGGACTGCAACTTCCAACAGTTCTAGCCAGCATATTCTGTGGTAAAGAATGATGAGAATTGCAGTCATGGGTGCAAGTTGTTCACTAGTCAGCTATGGTGGAGCCAGGGTTGTGCTACATCAGCCATTTTCTAGTCCACAACCCAAATATTTAAGTGTGTGTTAACATCTAAAGCAGTGCTCTTAGCTATGCAAGTATGCAGTGCCATGCCTAAATTTTATTTTATTACCTTCAGCTATTATTTATATTATGGTCATTGATTGTAGAGGAGTTGTTAGAATCTATAATCTTTTGATTTAGTACTGAGAGACTATTGATTTTTATTTCCATTACTGTATTATCTTGGAAATGAAGTAATGGAATTATTATTATTATTATTATTATTATTATTATTATTATTATTATTATTTACTACTACTACTCCTATAGTATCTGGAATTCCAAAATATTCCAAAATCCAAAATTGTCCACATGGATGGCTGAGATAACTGCAGTTTACACAAAATGTTAAAGATATTATAAAAATTACCTTCATGGCCATTTATATAAGGTATATATTAAACATAAATTAATTTTTGTTCCAACTTGGGGCCTGTGCATATATGAAAATACAAGTACTATATTCTGAAACCTTAAAAAATCAAAATACTTTGGCTCCCAAGCATTTTGGATAAGGGATACTCAGATCTTGCATCAAATGATAAAGTGAAAAGTTCCAGTCACACCCTACCTTTAATGTATCCACATCACCCAACATAATGTACTTCTCCACACCTCACAACATGAGCATTTACTGGACAATTATAATTATCATCATCTTTATTATATTTATTTAGATCACACTTTTATCCCGCAACCAAGATGCAGTGGAGCGTGCAGAACAGCAGCAGAGAACATTCCAACTATGTGTCTGTGATGAGATGCAGAGTGATGATAAGGTTCTCCAAGACCTCAGGAGGGCCCTTGGTAAAGTTATTCACAATGCATACTGCTATAGACACAAAGTCGGAAACTTCACTATCACTACCCCCCTTTCTCTCTACGAGTAAACAGGTATTTTGGTAGAGATACTGTAGGTCACAGAAAGTGAAAGATTGCAGTTTGAGAGAAGTATTGATCATTGCAGGAAGGAGGAAAATAATTTGTCCCCACCTGCACAAGCACACATTGAAAGGCTAGAAGCAAATGTATTTCACAAATGGAATGCCACCCACAATCATTATAATATATGTAGTCTCTGTGGAGTTAGGGTATTAGGTTTCAAGAGGAATCACACCTGTGCTAAGATAGATGGGAATACTCTCATGAAACACCTTGGGTCTGTGTTCTACACATTTTGTTGAATATTATCAAATGTTTTCAAATTGTATCTAAAGCTATCAAATATTCTTTCTTTTTATAAGGAGGACAGTGAAGATCTGAAATGCCAGCTACAGTTTGTTAAAGAAGAAGCTACCCTGATGAGGAAAAAAATGGCCAAAATAGACAAGGAGAAGGACAGATTTGAGCATGAGCTTCAGAAATATAGGTCCTTTTATGGTGATCTAGACAGTCCTTTGCCAAAAGGGGAAGCTGGGGGCCCTCCTACCACAAGAGAATCAGAACTTAAGCTTCGTCTGAGGTTAGTTGAGGAAGAAGCCAATATTCTGGGTAGGAAAATTGTGGAACTGGAAGTTGAAAACAGGGGGTTAAAGGCAGAACTTGATGACTTAAGAGGAGAAGATTTCTCAGGGACAGCCAATCCTCTCATGGGAGAGCAGAACGAATCTCTGTCTGAATTACGACAGCATCTGCAGCTGGTTGAAGATGAAACTGAATTGCTGCGGAGAAACTTGGCGGATGCAGAAGAACAAAACAAGCGCATTACAGCAGAGCTGAACAAGTACAAATACAAGACAGGGGCTCATGATACATCAAGACACCATGATAGTGCCAAGACTGAAGCCCTTCAAGAGGAGCTGAAAGCTGCACGCATGCAGATCAATGAGCTCAGTGGCAAAGTCATGCAGCTTCAGTATGAAAACAAAATCCTGATGTCCAACATGCAGCGCTATGACCTGGCTTCTCACTTGGGGATCCGAGGCAGCCCCAGGGACAGCGATGCTGAAAGTGATGCAGGAAAAAAAGAAAGCGATGATGATTCACGTCCCCCACACCGCAAAAGGGAAGGGCCCATTGGTGGAGAAAGTGACTCAGAGGAGGTCCGCAATATACGGTGCTTGACCCCCACAAGATCTTTCTACCCTCCCCCGGCAGGATGGCAGAAAAGCTTCACAGACCGGCAGCAAATGAAGGACATCCGGTGTGAAGCAGAACGCTTGGGAAAGACGATAGACCGGCTGATTTCAGATACCAGCACCATCATAAGCGAGGCAAGAATTTTTGTGGCCAATGGAGACTTCTTTGGACTTATGGATGAGGAAGATGACGGCAGTAGGATACGAGAACATGAACTACTGTACCGGATAAATGCTCAGATGAAGGCGTTTAGGAAAGAGCTCCAGACCTTCATTGACAGACTGGAAGTTCCAAAGTCTTCGGAGGATCAGACTACAGATGAACCTTTGTCAGTGAGTCAGGTAGATTTTTACTTAGCAAGCCATCTAGGTAAAATGTTCCAGCCCAAGATGAATTGTGGCTATTGCATCAACAGTTTCATAAAAGGTTTATGATATGCAGGGGTGGGGTGAGGTCTTTAATTTCTGAGGGTTTATTTTAAACATTCTAAACTATAATTTGCAACTTAATTCTAACATCCAATCAATGTGACAGATAGCTAAACAGAGCTGATGTTAGAAGTTAGGATAGCTGAATACCAGCTGCTCTTCCAAGGTTTGAATAATTACCATTTTTGGACTATATGTTGGTTAGAGTTATTGAAGACATAGTACCAAAATATATTCCAAACTCTACATGGAACACAACTTTGTACCAAACCTTTTACCCAAGCCATCTGGCTGCTGCTCCAATTGAACACCAGCTTGCTTGTCTGTCCTTTCTCTTGGGATGATGTAAGCGTAGCAGCAAAAGGTAGTAATGTTGGCTTTGTCAACCAGCTTACTCGCATTTCTGTAAATAAGTAGTAGGCAATTCCTCTTCCTTGGTACCATCATTTGCTTCCTCTGGACTTGTTCACCCACTGTTTGCTGTTACCTTCAGTGTTAGTGGAATGAGGAAAATGCTCTGGGTTGTAGCTTACCCTTTCAATGAGCTCTCCATGGTGCTACAAACCTACCTCAATTCAGCACCTCAAATGTTTATAGACTAAAATTCAGAGCATACACGTGGCTTTTTTCTGGCACTGCCACTGATTTATACCTGGAAAGCAAGTATACCGTACTGGTGAGTAGTAGCAGCTGTCAATTTTTCACTGAAAAGGGTTTTCACTCCATTAAAAATGTATTGCCCAGGGAACTGCAGAAGAAAAGTAGAAAAATATTTTGCCAATTCATCATCATTATATCAGTGTAATAAGAAGCACTGTCTAATAAGAAGAGGGTTCAGATAGAGATTGTATTACTGTTTGTTCCAGAGTGTGAATCTGTGAGCAAGACAATTTCTACTCCTTCAGTTCTTGCTACATTCAAAATATTAAATTCCTCTTAAATTGTTAACTAGATATTTGGCGGAGTCCTTTGTAATCAAAGCAAGAAGGTAGAAAGAATGAAATCAAGAAATAATTATAAGGAAAGGCATAATCTGAAGCATATGGCCTCAGATATCGTTATAGGCAATTGAAATGTTTGAATAATTTTGAATTAAAAAATAACTGGGTTACGCATAACTGTATGCCATAAAATGTAAGGAGTTTTGCTGTTGGTACTATATGGGTACTTTAATCATCAGCATTATATCTCTACCCTTCAAAAGCCACCACTTGCTGGTAAACAATCCTGTTTACTGGTCTTAGCTGATAAGAATTTGTTTTTCAAATTATATAGCTAGCCTATTTTCTGGCAGAGTTTGTTTCTTAAATAATGATGGAACTTGAATAATCAAGAGAAACAGATTGGTAACTCCAAGCAGTCTAAAAGAATCACTTTTGCCTGCATCATATAGTTAACTCAGAGATTTTTCTTTCTTGTGGTAGTGGCATTTTAAAATGATCAAACATAGTTTTGGAGATAAGTTTCTCACTGGGCTTTGAAGCAGAAGCAGTCTTCTTTTGAGCAATAGAAATGGGAGACAACTTGAAAAGGGGAACAGTTTTCTTCAGTCTTTATGATATGTTTTGAAGAACAGGGCTGGATAACCATTTGGTGTGATCCAGTGGAGGAATTCAGTTTGAACTTTCTCCCATGCTTTGCATCAAAATAAGAAATATTTGTAGAGCCATTCTCTTCTATATATAAGTTGCCATGGACTCTTTTGTCTTTGCTGTCTTGGCCATTCACAGATCTTGGTAACAGTGTTACACTTGGATCATTATGAATTATGATTAGATGGTTCAGTCCAGAAAATGCAGTATACATCCTGCAATGTTTTCTGCATGTGTTTCTAGTTTACTAAATGTTCCAAATGTAGTGCAGTGGGAGAAGAGAGGGCTGTTTAAACTATCCCAAAAACTGCATGCTTTGTTTTCTCTTAGTGTTTCTCAATCTGGGGGTTGGGACCCCTGAGGGGAGTCACAAGTGGGTATCAGAGGGGTCACCATCAGAAAACACAGTATTTTCTGTTGGTCATGGGGTTCTATCTGGGAAGTTTGGCCCAGTTCTGTCATTGGTGGAGTTCGGAATGCTCTTTGATTGTAGGTGAACTATAAATCCTAGCACTACAACTTCCAAGTGGCATGGTCTATTTTCCCCAAACTCCACCAGTGTTTGCATTTGGGCATATTGAGTATTTGTGCCAAATGTGGTCCAGATCCATCATTGTTTGAGTCCACAGTGCTCTCTGGATATAGGTGAACTACAACTTCAAAACTCAAGGTCAATGCCCACCAAGCCCTTCCAGTATTTTCTGTTGGTCATGGGAGTTCTATGTATCATATTTGGTTCAATTCCATCGCTGGTGGAGTTCAGAATGCTCTTTGATTGTAGGTGAACTATAAATGACAGCAATTATAACTCCCAAATGACAAAATCAATCCCGGCCCCAACCCCATCAGTATTTAAATTTGGGCATTTTGGGTATTTCTGACAATTTGGTTCAGTGAATGAAAAGAACATCTTGCATATCACATATTTCCATGACAATTCATAACAGTAGCAAAATTACAGTTATGCATAACAACGAAAAAAATTCATGGTTGTGGGGTCACCACAACATGAGGAACTGTCTTAAGGGGTCACAGCATTAGGAAGGTTGAGAAACACTGTCCTAGTAAGTCATATATTCTACAAGTATCGTATTGCTTAGCTTCTCCAAATGAAACAGATGAACTGAAGAGTAAAATTAAATCATAGAAACTGCCAGAACCCAAGAAGCAGGAAGCATTTTTTCTTTTAAAATTTCGTTATCTGAGACCCAAGCAATGCTGCTGTTTTTCCTCTTGTAATATTGCAATTGCAGTTTCATTAACATAGCATTATCTTGTCTTTGTATTTGCTTTCCCAGATGTTCCAGCCTATCATTTTACTTATTCTCATCCTTGTATTATTTTCATCTCTTTCTTACGCAACAATATTTAAACTTGTCTTCCTTTTCACGCTGTTCTTTGTGCTGTAGATCTTTTTCATTGTTTTTACCATTCATTGTAGTATTATTTTCAGTTTGTTTCATTTTGTCCATCCTCTCAAGATAAGAAGTTCAAGAGCTATAGTTTCTGTAGTAATCACTGCTATAAAAACACTGAAGACTACTCATTTGAAAGAATGGAAATCAGCCATCCTTAGATGCCAAAAACAAAAAAAGGGAAAACTACAAGGATCTCCACAACCGAATCAGAATTCTGCTAATAAAAATACTAGGTAAGCATCTTCATTTGTTTTGTTTTAATTCTAACACCTCCCCTTTTCTCTCTCACTCACTTTTAGAAAATTCAGAATAAAAACAAGAGTACACATTTCCAGCTAATATTGTTTTTACAAGATCAAAATCAAGTGTAGTAGAAATGCTGCATTTTCTCTGCAGAATATTGAAGTTATGAGCTCATTAAAGTGTGGGTAGTGCAACTATATAGCTATATTTCTAAAGATGCACATATTCACAGAGAGAAGATAATCACAGTCATTTCAATACACACACAGAAACACACATGTGCACAGTGTTTTTTATAGGTGACAAATAGAAAGGTTCAGAGCAGGAGCTTTGAACTGAAGAGGAATCCAACATGGAGTTTGTCTGACTTCGACTGACAGCTGCTGAGTCCAAAACCAAATGGCTGTCTTGGTAGTGAATGCATATTATGTTTAGTGGCTGGAAACATGAGAATTATCAGAGCAAATATCAGATTTAATTGACCAAAATTGTGATGACTTCACTCGGTTGTCACTTAGCAGATATCCTTCTGTATTCATTATTGGATATATATATATTTGTACTAAGCCTATAAGCCATTCCTCACTATCTTGCCTTGAGATTTTACTGTAGTTCATTTCTTTAATACGTAGGCTTTTGATGAAGGGATAGAGAAGACTAAAAAAGAAAAGCATGCACTCAAAGCAAATGCAGAGATCTGATCTTTGTAAGTCAGACATAGCTTTCACAACAGATACAGAAATTGGTTTTTCACTTCTGCATGTCACCACAGGAGGTCCTCTGAGCAGAGTGCCTATCATCAGTGGTGGCTTCACAGCCTTTATAGCCCCACTTCTGTTGTAGCTCCAGGCTGGCCGCAAACCCAAATAGTGTAAGGCAGCTGGCACATTGCTTTCAACTCAATGGGTCCATTATGAAACATCTAATTCTACCAAGGTCCCAGATATGTGTTTATATATATATATTTCCAAAATATGCTTGTATACCAAAACAAGTACATTTGGAGAAATGGTGAAGCATCTGCCTATCAAGCAATTAGAACCATCAAACTGAAATACGTATTCAAAGCAAAAAAAGGACTAGTTCCTGTATTAGATATTAGATCAGCTGTGTGCAGAAGCTGCTTCATGCCCAAAATACAATCAATTGAAAGAATGCTTTATTGTTTTTGAACATGTACTAATTTGAATGAGATACCTCAGATTCTTCACACTCCACTCAACTAACATTTAATACCATTTCTTTGATTTCTCTTGTGGTAGTAGTTCTTTTATTTTAGTTCTATGTCCCATTTCCAATTGTGATTGCACATGTTGAAACAGTATATGTGAAAAGTTTAATGAGTGATATCTGTGTTCAAAGGGATCTTATAGCACCTTAGAAACTAAGTGAGAGAGCTAAGTTGACTGTATAAAATTTTGAAGACCCAGGATGCTTCTACACAGAACTAATGCAGTTTGATGCCACCGAAGTTGGCCACTGTCATTGCAAAATGAGGCAATCAAAACAGCTCATATCAGTGAAGCATGCACTTCTTTATTAAATAAATAAACAGGTGTATGATGTTCAAAGCTATGTACCACAAATGATCCTGTGGCTATTTACACAGAGGTAAGTCTCTCAAATCCAGTGGGGTAATGCTTCTAAGAAATTTAAGAAGACATGGCACTTAATTGCACTATAGTCTCATCTGTATAAGTTTAGTGTTTGAGATGTTGATGTATGAATCATTATCCACTTGCCACTCCTTTTGAAAACCAATGCAAATTAGCCCCAAGCCTATTTGGGTGTTTCCTTTGCTTTGAGGAGAATCACAACCCTGGCCCCTAAATTGGGTACTTGTTTGTTGTGGGAACCTGGTCCTTCTCCATGTCTGGACCCAAATGGTGCACTGCCTAATCTTAACACAGTTTTACATCACAGGGGAAACAATGTACTTCGAGCAGGCTCTTCTTTTCAGATCTACCTCTTAAAATGTGAACAGTGCTGTTTCACTGATAGAACTGATGCCCATTTGTTGATTACTTGAGAACCTTATATGAATAGGGCGGTTTCATTCTGTCATGGCTGCATGCTATGGAATGCTGGATCTTGTAGTTTCATGAGAAACTAACAAATCTACCTATTTCTAAACTGCAATTCCCAGAGGATGGAAACATGATACTTATATTGGAATATAGCATTATTATTGTTTCATATAGTAAAGCTCCTGTTCTGCTAAAGTCTTAAAGGCATGGAAGCTTTTAAAGGCTTCCTTAGCAGCCCTTTATTTTTCTGAAGAAATCCCTCATGACACAGTAGCTTTGTTGCTGTTATGAAGTGATGCCTAGCTTCTCCATTCGTTGAATCCACAGTTCTTAGGAAATCATGGGTAAGGTACTGAGGGAATTGTAGTCAAACTCAATAACTTTTCCAAGTTCTACATTCATTTGAATGTAATTAGTTGCCTTGCCATGAGACAGATCACTGAATAATAGTATTGATATTTCTCTCTTTTCTTCCTTTTTGATAGCTTTTTAGCATCCCACTTCAGCCTGCATTTTTAGGGATTTGTAATATGGGAGTTACAAAACATCCGTTCCTCCCAGCCAAAACTTGTCATATAAATTTGTAGCACTAGACTGAATTGGTTTTTGCTAGATTTTTTTCATCATTCCCTTGAGAAGGGAAAATCAGCTTTAAGAGTTGCTGACTCAAACTCATAAAATTTTAAACATTAATGATAGAACTGTGCCAGCAATAATATGGTAATTCTTGATGCTTTTTCCTCCTTAATAAAGATATCGTTAACTTGAGAAGGGTGGATCCATGACTCGCACAAATGATTTGTCAGACTTGAATGTAACAGCTATAATTTCCCAGCCCTGTAAGGTCCCACTGCATTTTTTTCATTAAGAAGAAGGGGGAAATGAAGTGACACAACTCACACAGTTGCACCCAAGGTCTCAGCTTGTACTAGCTCTATGTTTGGTAGCACTGGGACTACCTGTTGTTTTCCAACTTTAAAACTCATTACAGGTGGAGGTAATAACTTTGTTCATTCAAATATCAGGGAAAGGGGTGGTTGTATCATTTTAAGACAAAAAAAAAGGATGTGTGGCTGAAAGGAAGGCAATCCTCTCTTCCTATTCAAACCCCAAAGTTGGCAAAATGACCAGCTTACAGATAAATACACCACTGAAATAGCACATGGGTCACATTGATGTGATGCTGCCACAAATACATTCAATGGCAACGTGAAGGCTCTTGTTCAAGGACAGGGATATTTCTCTCCTCTGAAAACATGTGAGCTCAAAGGTCCTTGTTACAGATATAATAAGACAAGGATCTGGTGACATGTGTCGCCACTGCTTTGGAATCACAGCGGAAGAAAGCAGGTGCCTTGGCCAAGCCGAAATATACTTAGCCATTGGAAAATAGAAAATTCGCCAGAAACAGTGACTAAATGTGTCATTAAAGGGGGCGGGGAATGAACTACAGATGACCTTCAGGAGTTGTTTACAACTTGTACAGAATCTTAAGAACATCACACTCCAGTTCCTTTGCTTGGAATAGACTAGATTAATTTTATACTGCTGCTATGACAAGGGAAAACAAAACGTAAGGCTAGAGACTATTTAGATCTAAAATATTTGCTACCAGATGATGTGTGATGCTGGAAAGAAGCACAAGTGAAAACAACTTTCCAAAAAGCCACACTATACACTTCTATTCCACATCTAGAAGTGTGCACTGTTCAAGTCTTTCTTTTTTCTTTTTTCCTTTCTCTGTTCCCTATGATGCCATGAGGGCCATCGAGTCCAATCCCCTGTTATGATCATCCAGTCTCTGTTTAAAAACCTTCAGAGAAGGAGATGTTGCTACACTGGGGCAATGCATTCCATTGTCAAACAGCTTTTACCATTATAAAATTCTTCCTAATTTTTAGGTTGAATATCTCCACAGTTTGAATCAATTGTTCTGTGTCCTATTCAGAAAGCAAGCCGGTTCCATCTTCAATACAGCATCCATTCAAATATTATTTAAGCATAGCCATCATGTCACCTATTCTTCTCCAGGCTACACATATCCAGTTCCCTAAGCTGCACTTCATAGGGCCTGGCTTCCAAACATTTGACCATTTTGATCACACTTCTCTGGACACATTCTACTTCTTCAACATCTTCAATTGTGATACCTAGAACTGGTCACAGTATTCCAGATGGGGTCTGAACAAAGCAGAAGAGCTTTTTTTTAAGGATTTTCAAATAGGAAATCTAGAGTTCAACTTGATCTATGAATGGTTGTTGCCAAAATGGCTCTTACATCTTCATTGAGAATGCCTGTTCTTTTCTACCAACACTAGCAAAAGGCTACGTAGCCACATGGTCTGTGAAAAACAACCAAATAAGTTTATCAGCCTGTCCTGACTGCTTGCACATGCTGATGAAGCAGTAGAGTGGAAGTTGGCTGACATATTTGCTTGTTTGCAAATGTTTAAGAACACAATTAGTGATGTTCTATGCGATTTTCTCCAGCTGCTGTGGATTTTATTGGATTGTGATAGTCCTATAGGCTCTTAAAGTTAGATTAGGCAGTCCCTGTAAAACAGAGTTTATGCATTTTAGTACACAGTTGAACACATAAAATGTTTTGGCATGTATATGCATATACAAACTCCTAATCTGTTGAAAAGAAATTATGCCTAAAGGGATACAATTTAAGCCGTGATTTCTGAGATGAAAATGTGAAAGAAGATAAGTCAGGGTGAGACAAAATGTGGCAGCTGGGCATAGGCTGAATATGTTAAAAGCACTGGCAACAAACAGAACCCATAGAATTGTTTTAAAAAACTGAAGCCAGAGAAATAGCTTGAAATGTCCTAAAGCACTAAGATCTGTTACATCAACCATATATTGTCATCAGATCTCTTGTAGGTTTGATCATCATTTCTCAAGTTCTGTCCCTTTGCCTTCATGGTCCAACCATAGGACCGAGTCCTGATAATAGTTCTAACTATTCTTTTAAGACAGCAAATGAAAAACATAGGAGCACATTTGCTTGAATTCCCTTATACTAATGGAATGGAGAGCATCTTTCAAGGTGGAGCTGTATCATCATCCTATGCCCTTTGGACCTCAATCACTGAAACAGCATCCCTCAGATAGACTCTTTCCTGGCAACTGAGCACAGAAAGATATACATTTTTCTTCCCTGGTGCAGCCAAGCTGGCCTTCCTCAAGCTATTTCCACTTAGTTTAGGTACACTTAAAAAAATTGTCAAAGAATTCATAGATGACAGCACTTTTAGAAACTGGGAAAAGAACTGCACAACTGTAAAGATAATACTCAGTCACACATTTTTTTCAGCCAGTAATTTGCAGTGGGCCTCAAACCGCTGAAAAAATTCCTTCCACAGATGTTATATAACACAACTGTGTTTTTTCTCAAGTAATGAATATTGTCAGTTAAAATTATCAATCCAGTTATTTTGTGACCGATAACAACTGTTAAAGAAAAACCTTATGATGTTAATTATTATGTGCAGCTGGTAATGTAGGTCAGCCAGCATGTTTGGGTCACATCTGGTGGGTATATCTGTATGAATTTTAGAATACAGTTTAGAGAAGCATTATGCTACTCTGGGGAAGAGAAGCAATATGCTGTAATGCTGCTATGCTCTAACAGCAGTGCTTTTTGCTATGGTGGAATAGCTATTTATTCAAGGTTTATGTTTTGCTCTCTCATTTGAATGAAGATGAAGAAACCTTATTCTGAGTTACTTATAAGGACTATGTAAGTTTGTTGCACTGTTTGATTTTGTATGCAACACTGCATGTTTACACCTCTGCTGATAAGAGTAAAGTTTTTCTGTTCCTTTTTTCCTCATGCCTGTGTGTCTTTTGCATGGGACTTGGCTAAAATCCGCTTCCGCGCAATAAGACCCAGGCAGCCTCATTTGGAGCTGAGTAGTCATCCAGAATGTCTCAAAAGTAACACAGTTCTCAAAACTTTCATAGCAAATCGGCTGGCTTTCTCAGTACATGTTTATGTGGAAAGATTTCCTGAGTTAAAGGCAACAACATAGAGTAGTTTCCATACTAGTGAGGGATAAATCCATGTTCTAATCTGGTTTAAAGCAGCTGTCCAAGGGCTGAGCCTATCCCCATACAGGTTGAGCATTCCTTATCCAGAGTTCAAAATCTAAAATGTTCCAAAATTGTCCACATAAGTGGCTGAGATAAGTGACACCTTTGCTTTCAGATAATTCTGTGTACACAGCATTTGTATCAAATTACCTACAGGCTATCTGTATAAGGTATATATTAAACATCAATGAATATAATATTTAGTTTTGGGTCCATCTTGAAGTTCTCTATCTAGGTACATATATACAAATGGTCCCAAGCATTTCAGATAAAGAACACTCAACTAGTAATAGTTTCAGCATTTCAATGGCTTCTTCAAATATCAGACTGAAACCACTATTGAGCTAAGCCACCACTAACAATGCAGCATTTATATATTTGATTTTTTTTAAAAAAAAATCATAAACTTCATGAGAACTCATGGCCTTGGTCATCCTTGCTTTAAAAAGATGCTTTTTATGACCCAGAATTCTTGTTTAATGAGACAGAAAATGCTTCTGAAGACTCAGAGTCGTTGTTCAATGTGCTCCCTTACATTCTTACTTGGTGGCTGGAAGAGCGCACTCTCAAGGAGGTCGTAAAAGAAAAGACAATAAGGGGAGGTACTGAGGCTGCACAGTGGCCACAGAAACGATGAGATCTGCTTCAGAACACCTGCCATAGATTCCCTGTACCTGTATGTAGACAGTACTCAAGGTCAGCATCTGCTCAAAGCATTATAGTCCTACTTGGGTATTCACTGAGTGAAGAATCTACATGGACATAGCAGGGCTGATGGGTCCTGCTCAGGGCTCCACATATGTTGTTGAATAACTTCTGCATAGTGGACCCTTTACTGCCTTTAGATGTTATTTGTGCAATATAGATCCAAATTCATCAAGCTAGATCTCTCTCTTCTGTTTATCTATATCTATCTGCTTCTCTCTCTCTCTCTCTCTCTCTCTCTGTGTGTGTGTGTGTGTGTAGAACACCCAGAATCCCCAGCCACTCCTTATTTGATGGCATTGAAAGCAAAAAAGTAATCTTTCTGCACTATCCAGTTCCCCCATTACATTCCCCATTCTGTGGGCATGGTTCAAAGTGCAATCCTGCTTTATTATTCATGCCAGAAAGAGCCCTGCTTCATTTGTGTTGCTTCTTCATTCTAGAAACACCAGAAGAAGGTTTATTTGTTAATAATCACAGTGCAGAGTCAAAATAACTTTAAAACACAGAAAGTATAAAATGGCTCACTTTTAAGTATCTAAACTTGCCCCTTGAATCATGTTGCGATAGCCGAGAACAGGCAGCCAGCAGAAACTTGGAATATTGTACATTTTGTGTGTGCTCCAAGTGACACCCACCCACCATCATGAGGTGGGGTCACTGCATTCCACTGAAGCTGCAGCTGTCGAATAGTCTTCAAAGGCAGTCATATGCAGAATTCATCACACACGGGCATGAATATGGATTGTTAGGCTGCATTCTTGTTAAAGAGAGTCGTTTTGCCAGATGGAGTTGGACATTTGTCAAGTTCTCCATAAAAAGAAGCCTTATTTAAAAAGGGATTATTCGTCTGTTTTTATTTGATTCATTGTTATTATTTTGAGGGGAGTGATCAGCTATGAATTAATTGAAGGTTGCTGCCACAACTGTGATTCTGGAAATTATATGTGAGTACTCCAGCAAAAAAATTCTTTGCTCTGGGTAAAAAGGAAAGAAAGAAAGATAATTGTCTTTTGTAAAAGAAATCTGATCCTGACTATTGTAGTTTTAGTATTTACACAGACAGCTTTGGCAAGGTTTAAAACTGGGCTCCACTATAAAACCTAAAAATGTCCTGGACATGAAGTTGTTTACATAAAATATGAGAAGATATAGAGTTACATGGCTGGGGATTGGAAGAGACTTCTAAAACCATCCTCCTTGTTGCTGACGTCACATAGAAACCAGCTGCTGGGATGATGCTAAACAGAACTGTTTTTCAGTTTGCAAAAAGTTGCAAAGTTGATCTAATAAACTTCCAAGGGCTGTCTTGATTGAGAAGCTGATGATTTTTCCTTTCTTTGAAGGATCAGTAATTTCAGAACTGGAAGTCTTTTCCCCACTTCACTGTTCTCACTGCAACTTTAGATTTGGACTGACGTACACACAGGGGGATTCTTCTACTGCAAAAGGTAGGTCTATACTTTTTTATTTGTTTTAAGAATTATTGTTCTTTTTCCCCTCATTTGAAAAAAATGGCAATATTTTCAGAATGTGATGGGCTTAAACGCTCTGTTTAAAGGGTTATTTAGACATCTGTCTACTTCTCACCCCCACCATTGATTTGAATGTAGGTCAGGAATCATTTCAGTTAGAAATGGATTTGGTTTTTCAAAAAAAGGCAGCATGATTTTTTCCTAAGCAATGAGTGAGAGAATTAACAGCATGTATTTAAAATGCATTTTATTTTATCTTATTCACCAGAAGAGGATTTTAGATGCATGCACATAGTCACATAGAGAAACCTGCTGCTGCCGTTAGATCAAAACTTAACGGTTTTGTAATACGTGCTCAAAATTCGGCACAGTTGAATGACAGAGATGCCTATAGATCAAAAGAAGCCATGCTTATCTTAAGCACTGTCCTGTGCATCCACTTTTGTTCCTCTCCATTAAAACATAACACCTCCTTGACTGATGTCACTCCCTGTTATTTTTAGTAGATGCTTTCCATTCCACAGAAGGGTATTTATTATAAACTATTTGGACTTATCAACACATGTTTGCATGCAGGGGGAATGAGATTTAAAATTTTGTGTTGTGGCATGCAGAATTCTTTTAAAAAGAAGACTGGTTTGTTTCAGAGAAGGGGGTGTCCAGCGGATATAGATGGCATTGATTGTTTACATAGTTTTACTGCTGTATTGAGCATCTGACCTTGGCTAGGACACTGTGGAGACGTGTCAGGGCAGCAAAAGGACAGATGCCCTGCTGTTTTCTAAGGCAATCCAAAACCGCAGGCAGTATCTAGAGTTTTGACACTGGAATGGAACATTCCAGAATAATTGAGACTGATCATATTCACCCCAGCACCTTTCTGAGCGTTGGATAAGCACTTTGCAGACCCACTGGACCAATTTACATATCATTTGAAATTTTGAGGTGCCTGCAGGTGAGGGGAAGAAAGCTTTTCCACTGGGTTTGAGATGTATTTTCTTGTAAAAGGCAAAGGTTTCCTATTTACATGCTGAAGAATTGGTTTTATATATATTGAGGGTTACTTGTGTAAGAAAAAGGGAATGAGATTTTCAAGACTTTTTGTCTTCCCCTGGCCACTGTGTGTACTAGAGAAAAGGAAATTCAGTTTTATTCTCCTAGGGAAGAGAGGATTTATTTGACATGAGACAGGGATGAAGAACGGAGGTCCTTGGAGGCATGTCAGCACCATAATACCAGCTTGAGCAAAATTAAGCAGTGACCCAGTTCTCAATGTGTAAACATCAGCTGGAGCTTTAGTGTACACAGAAACAATTAACAAGAAAATGTGGCCAAACCATGAGCAACCATGCAAACAAACAAAGGGAACTTGAATGAAAGGGAAATGTATCCTCATGATGTTACTTGGCTGGGACATCTGACAGGGTCTCAGGAAGTTGTACCTTTGCTTTACAGATGTGATTTTTCAGTGAATACTTTTCTAAAGCATGTTAGTGGTTGAAAGGTAGTAATTTGCAAAAGTGCATTGTTGTGATTAATTCAGTTTGTGATTACTGCCCTGCATCCCATTTTATAGAGGAAAAGCTCAGTTTCATAAAGTGACTTGCTACAGATTGAGCACAAGGGACTTCTGGGTCCAAGCCAATTCTTTAACTACCTGGCTATACATTCTCTTCTGCATGAGTTGCATCACAATCTGGTTGATAGGTGCTCATCTACTAGGAATATTTAAGTAAAGGGGAGCTTGCCCTGAGTTATGTGGCCCCAAGCTCCCTTTCAGCCATCTTACTCTACGAGCATTATCTGTAATGTAATGACTCCAGCTGTGCTCTTCCAGAACTTGATTGCATTTGGATTATCTCCAGTGTGGCTTTGGAAATGTCGTTTGGTGGGAAACAGATTGTAGATTGCAAAGCCTGGTTCTCCATGTAATGATTTTTAAAGCGCTGTGTGCTTTATTCTCCATTAACATAGTAGGCTCTTTTGTAAGTGCACTGTTTGTATGAGAGAAAGGCACATTAAGGAGAAAGGTATTATTTCCATGCTCGTGCTTTAGCAGTTGTACATTTTCTGCTTCTCATTGAACGATTGCATTAAACAGATGTTCTGTCTTTTCTTATTTGATCCCTTTACACAGAAGTCTCGAAAGAGATTAATCTTTGCATTGTTTAAGCCAAATGAGCGAAGAGAGGAGCTGCTCTTTTAATGCCTCTGATGTCTGTTTGAATGGGTCAGCTTAAAAGTCAATTTAATTCCCTTCCCAAAATACTGTATTTTTTTAAAAAATGTAACAACAAACCCAATAATTAGGGCAAACTTTTGCAAATGTTGAAGTGGCTGCACATGCTCGTTTTGAAATAGCATTTATACTATGAAAAAGCTTTCACTGCAGTGGAAACTTTAAGTAAGAAATTGTTTTTGAGCAACAGTCACTGTAGTCCCTGGCTGGAAGTGATGGAATCTTCATCGGCTGGCTGCTTGCTACAAGAAATCCAGGCCCTTTTTCCTTAAACAATCATTCCCTCTTGGCCTCATTTCTGAAAAATGCCGTGTTGTCTTTGAATAGCTCTGTTAACTCTCAGTGAAGTGACTCTGATTTGTAATAAAGATGTTCTATTTTTTCCAGCCAGGTATAAACAGAAATACATTTGTCTAATCCAAAGCCTTTAGAAGCCAAACTGAGAAGGGAGGAAAGACCAAACCATGTGGAGTTTCAGAGTCCAGTGACAGACCAAGATGAGATCTGGAGAAAGAAGGCGGTGATTGCTGTGTTGGGCAGGTATGCTATTCATTGACTTCCATTGGTTATGAAAGAATAATGTGGAATTTGTCCAGTTTTTTCATACTTATTACAGTACTTTTAAGAATTGAATCTCATGAAGCAACCTTGGAGGTAAAGGGACTTATCTGGTTTTGGAAAGGCTAGGAAAAAGCCCTGGCCTAAATCCTAAAGAATAATTTCTTTCAGTCAGAGTTGGCAATACTGGACTAGAGAATCAAGAGGCAAATCAGGGATGGCAAAAGTGTGACTCATGGGTGGAATAAAGCCCCAGAATAGTTTTTATTGTCCCAAGGGATATCAATTGTGTATTTTAAAAATATAACTTTTTGTTACACTTAAATGCATCCAGACACTCTTTGCGGAGCAGTTTCACCATGTTTATGGCTCGGCCATTATTGGTACAAGTGACTTGGAGCTGACTTCTGAATTATTTCTTAATGTAAAAAAGAGCTTCACACCCACATTTCCATTCTTGGAGAGGAAAAGGCTTAGAGGGCAATTTTTTTTCAGCGGGGTGCATCCCTCTAAGGCAGTGGTTCTCAACCTGTGGGTCCCCAGGTGTTTTGGCCTACAACTCCCAGAGATCCCAGCCAGTTTACCAGCTGTTAGTATTTCTGGGAGTTGAAGGCCAAAATATCTGGGGACCCACAAGTTGAGAACCACTGCTCTAAGGTCTCCAGGGAAGCCAGTGCAGCCCCCTAAATCCCAATTGTTTTGCACCTCTGGTCTTATTCAACATAGGTCCCTTCCTCTGTCCTTATTTTCCATATATCCAAAAAAAAAAGGGATGAAATAAAAGAAAGAGTAGAAGAAAAAAGGAGAAAGAACTCATATGGGTGGCATAAGACACACTACTATTTGAGAATGATATTTAAGAACATCCCCATGTCTAATGATAAAAATGATTTTAAAAACTTATATTTTACATAATAACCAACACTTTGTGACAGTTTTTAGATTCAGCAATAAAGAAGAAATGTAATTAGTAAAAAAATCAAATAAAGTATATATTTAAAATATTTCCCTCTTCAGTCACTGAAAATAGCTGATTTTTTACCGAGTTTGAAAAAGTTACTTTGAGGGATGGGTGGAAGAGAATACCTTCCATAATCTAGCTTCTTACATGGCCATACTTGCTGGGGGATTCAGTGAGCTGATAACCAAATATAAATGTCCCAAGTTCTAGCATACAGAAGCAATGCTGGACTAGATGGAATTTGTTTTTCCCCTTTGCAGGGTATTTCTTAAACAATAGTGAATATTTAGAAACACCTAAGGCAAATACATTAAACCCTTTGGAAGTCCCGATTTTCCACTTCTGCTTCATACATTCAATACATGTGAGTGGACTATTGGGATTCATGAAAAAGGATAGTTTTCTGAAACTGAATTCAGCCCACTACTGTTGTGGAGTAGCTTGTGTGTGTGTCTATAGTTGCTTATTGGAAAAGGGGGATGAACAGAATGGTTGCGTCAGGGTAAAATCACCTTCATTAGCCAGCCTGCTATCTTTAGATTCACTGGGGCTGCCTTGTCAACAAACGAAACAAGCAGGACGTGAGCAAAGCCTTAGGCCTTGCAAAGGTGTCAGGGCTTGAGTTTCCCTGTCAGGCGGTTCAGGAAGGACAGAGATGGCTCAGCAATCTGCAGCAGCCTTGCACTACTTTACACAAACATGATCCCAACGACATCCTTAAACCTGGACACGTACATCTTATTTGGATGAATATACTCTACCTATTCATTATATGTATGTTATTTCTTTATATGCCTGTTTTTTTCTGGATTGTTTAGCAAAATCATGCCAGCATAGTACATTGGTTGTCCACTTACACTTTAATGTTTCAATTACAGTGTTAAAAAAGCAAATGTAATGTATGCAAGTGTATCAATTGTGCATGAATTCTCATTTATAAAGCATTATAAGATCTATATGCATATGTTTGTGGTTAATGTATGCTTCTTCTAGCATCCATAAAATCAATTGTTTCTTCATTGTTAAACCATGTCTTAATGTTAGTAATTAATTTATTCATTATCACATTCCAGAGGTTTTTTGTGCCATTCCTCTACAGGTGGTTTTTTAATCACTTTCCCTTTTATACGACAAGTATTGTTGCAGCTAGTTATTAATTATTAACAGTATCCAGTTCTTCATTAATTAAATTGCACAGATCACATTATGCAGGTCTGGTCTTTGAAAGTATGTAGCATATCTTTCCAAAACAGTCTGTAATATAACATACCAGCATCATTGGTGTATCATTTTCAACATTTTCCGCCCTGGAAGTAGCACTGTACATTTTAAAATTAATCTTGTGAGCACACATTATGAATGCAACATCAAACGTTAATTTTGAAACATTACTTTTTTAATGTTTAATGTAATGCCATGAAAGCTTTCTACAGTACATTACCTTTTTTAAATTACATGGTCTAAAAGTGCAATGAAAGAAATGTATACAGTGAGATTGAAGGGAGTGCTGCATTAGATTTTGAATTTCCCACTTTTTATTTTTCCACAGATCTGTTGCATTGGGACTTTTAAAGAAAAGCAATTATCTGTTTAAAAACCTACTGCAATCTGCAACCAATCTTTAGTGCAAAGAACATTGCTCTGACCTCGCTGTTTTTCTTGTGGCTCCTCCCCACCGCCCCAACAAAAAGGTTGCTGCCTGTGCCGAGTACCATTTCTCCAGGTGTAAAACACATTCCCATTCCAAGGAACTTTCAGAGTATTTTTTCTCAGTTGAACCACTGCAACTATGGCCCTACAAGCCCATCTGGAGAGCTCAACTGAGAGGGACTGGAATAAAGAGAAGATGGAATTACTGGAGCGTTTTGACAGTGAGAGGAAAGAGTGGGAATGCCAGTGGAAGGTCATGCAGAAGAAAATAGAAGAGGTATTCTGAATTATTTCATACTTCCCAATTGTCCTGATTTGGCAGATACAGTCCTGATGAATCCCATTGTTTTGCTTTTCCAGATGCCTTTAAAATGTTTTCTCTCCTCCCACTTTTCTCCTTTATCCGCATCTAACTTCAGCTGTTACAAACCGAGTTCAAGGTGCAGAAGCAGCTTGCACTCAATTAACACAGAAGTGAGGACAAAGCTAAGCGGCTGCGTCCTCTCCTAGCTTGTATTCTCATACACCCCCTGAGGTTGCTTGGACATAAACACCCTGAGGTCTCATTTTTATTTGTGAAATGTTGGAGGGTGCATTATTTTGACTACCAGGGCATTATAAAACATGTTAAAGGAAATTAAATCTTTCATAGAGCTTCTGACAGAGTCATGGTGTTGTTGGAAAAGGTCGCCGAGGAATGTAGCTATGAGGGGGTAAAAAAAAATTCAACCTCGTTAGATGAAATTTCTCCAGTTACTAAAATGTCAGTAACTTAAACTACCCAGACCAACTAAAAACATTATGAGTGTCAAGTTTTTAGGTCTGTTCCTGAAGTTATTTGGGGCAATGATCAGAAAACTGCAACACTGGTTTCTAGATATGGTTATCATGATTTTCTGTGGGTGAGCAAATGAAGAGTAGTACATGGCATATATTCTGTACCTCTGAAACTAGAACCGATAGGAAGAAACTGGTACTGTTTCTGGACTTACCAGGTAAAAAATACCCAGAAACAGGTCTAACATTTGAGGCACCAAAGGTACATATGTTGGCCATGGCCAGTGTTATCATTAATGCAATTTAGGCATCGAAAGTAAACAGCAGACAAAGTTAGCAAGAAAATGTGAACAATGTGAATGTAAGAGTTTTAGATCTGAACTATTTTCATTGTCTCATTCTCTGCAATACTAGAAACTTGGGAGCTGAATGAAAATTGGAGCAGAGGGAGGGAAAATTTATATTTGGGGGCAAGGTTGTCATTTTGCTCCCCATATACCTACCCTCTGTTATGACCAAGCCCTGATTTTGAAGCAGGTTTGCTTTGTACTGTGTTAATTAATTGATCCATCTAGCTTTGTATCATCTATTCTAATTAGAAGTAACTTTCCACTTGCTTGGACAGAGGTCTTTCTAGTCCCACTATTTGACATTTTACTAACTATGCCCAAGGTTTTTAAAAAATAATAATAATGAAGGATTGGTTACATTACTAGGTTGGTCTTAACCTTAACACATTCCTGACAAGTTACTGTTTGTGCTTGGAAAGATAGGCTACATCGTCCATTGTTAGATTTCTCTTATTATTTAGTAGGCTTTGCAAATTATCTCTATTATTCTATGTTTACCTGTTGATTCCTGTGCTAAGTAGATAGGATGACTGACAATCCCTGTTTTCTGAGATAATTTGAAATACTTAAATACAATTCTTTTTTGCATCTTCCTGTACTTAATATGCACCATTTTGCCACTCCAGTAGCAAGGATAATGTGCACTGCTATGGACAGTGTATGTCAGTGACATGTTTGTAAGGCACCTTTTCTTGAATAAAAATGATTTAGAAATCACAAGAGCTTAGGACATGACAATTAGGCCATGATGCTTTTGTCAGTGTTAATGTAGTATTGATGTCAGCAAATGGTTGGTGAAGGCTCTTGGCAAAATATGTGGTGTCCTTGGCTTTGAGCAGTCCCACGTGTTAGACAGTAGCAGCGTAGCCTCTATTTACAAAAAGAACACAGTGCACTTGTACCTTTATGACCATGGCTTTCAAAGAGAAATGACAAGTAGTCTGGTTTACTGACACGTAAAGCAGGGGCAGGAATCATATGGCTTTCAAGTTTTGCTGAACTGCAACTGTCAGCAACCCTAGACTGCATAGAATGGTGAGGAAGGCTGGAGGTTGCAGTTCCACATCCAGAATGTCTCAAATTTTCTTCCCCAATGTGTATGGGACAGTCTTACATCTATAAGCATGTGACACAAAAACAGGA